GGGGGGGAGCATTTCTTTGAATGTCTTGATAACGACTCTGAATATCCTTATGATTTTGGTAGAGTTGAAAGAACATTAAATTTGGTCTCTAACCTCATGGTGCTAGTAACTCAAAAATGTGAGATAGAACTTTGTAATTCTGAGATAGCAATACTGTATTGAATAGGGATAGCTGAGTGCATGTGAAGTACTTAAGACTCAGCTCAGGGTTTTTATAGTTCTACCCAACCCAGCGCGACCCCGGGTGGTGGATAGGGAAAAGAGCTTCAAGTGGGAAACTGCGAAACATTATCAAACCAGAGAGAGATGGCCATGGATAGTTTATAGGGCATAAAGAACCCGGTAGCACAGGTGATTCTGTAACCCCCCCCCCAAAAAAAAAACCAACAAAAAAACCAAAAAAAACCAACAAAACAAAACCCACCCCCCTCCCGAAAAAAAAGGAACAACAACCCAAAAAAAAAACAACTAACACCTTAAATGTTCAAATAAGGGACGCCTTGTTTTGTGTCATTATACATATTTTTTTTAACGCAAGAGGGAAGCCGGAAGCCATTTGTGCCATTAATTGTTTTGGAGATGTGGCCATTACAGCAGGTTTGACAGTACTACGGCTTTAAAAAGACCGGAAATGCGTCTAGCATGGCGTTTAATAAAGGTGAAAAAAAATCATAAAACACACAAAAGATATCACCATAATACATAAATGCAGTAGAGAAAATAGCTGAAATGAACAATATAGTGAAAACGTACCTTGAAAGACCATCTCAAACCCAGACCCTTGACCTTTGGTTCCTGGGTAATACTCCAAGTGCACATCTTTATAGAATTCTATTTTCTCAGCATATGTTCTACCGCACCATTTTATGGGTGGACCTGAAATGATTAAGGCAATACTTTTTCTTCTGTTTCTCTAAAAAAAAAAAGTTCAAGAAAAACAACACATCGAGTGAGAGTGGACAAGACAACAGACATAATCTCACCATCCTCATAAACAACTAGTAGAGAAATCAATCACACAAAGTGACTTCCTTTACTGCTATTGCCCCCACCCACCCAAACCCCACCCCTTTTTTCTCCTCCTCCATCGTCCAGTTGCTGCTTTCTTCAATCAGGTTATCCGTCCAAAGCAGCAAATAAACAGCCAAAACCACCAGCGTGTACGGTGTACCTGTTAGGTGCTTCCCTGTCGCTCACAGGAGTCCCGAGTTCTAGCCCTAATGGAGAGAATCTTTATGAATTCTCTGGGTCTTCTTGCGGGGAGTTGTATCCCTATGAGCAAAGCTCAAAAGCCGGCCTCTTACATAAATTGTCTAAATAAAATGAAAGAATGAATAAATGAATGAATGAATGAATGAATGAATGAATGAATAACTGAATGAATGAATGAATGAATGGAGAAATGAATAAATAAACAGATAAATAAATTAATTAAAATGTATAAATTAATAAATAGAAAAAACCCATCCCAAAAGAATTATTACTGTTTTAAGCGTTCCAACAATTGTTGCCGTCAATACCAAATTTAGATAAAACCACTATTATTTATTTCTTGGGTTCCAAAGTGAGTCCCTCTTTCAAACAAGAAAGAGTCCCATGTTTAAAATTTCACAGAAAAAAAGCCAACTCTTGATCGTAATGGTACCATGGCGTCATGCCCTAGATACTTGTACTCTTTATCAAGTTGAACTGATTTCTTAACACCTCCCGTTTCACATCTAGCTACTATGTGTCCATTCTCTACTACATATTGAAACGCGGAACATGGATATCGACTTCATTTTAGTCGCAAATTCATACTGAAACCCC